AATCATAAATATTACTTGCTTTTTAGTATTAAATTCTCTTGTTCTTATTGTCGAATAACTTCCAAGAAGCCATTGATTTAAGAAACTAAATATATACATGGAAAATATATCAGCGTAAATCTCGAAGCAAACTCATGGCCTAAGGAAGAATGGTGTAGCAAGGGCTGGCCCCCCAAAAATTAATATGGCAGCCAAGGAGACCGGTCGACTTATGCTAGTCAAAGATCATCTAAATCGATTTAACAATACACGCCTAAAATAATTCATCCTACTGCCAGAGACAATTGAGGGTTCCCTCGAGGGGAGTCACGAGCTTCAACAACTTTCAACGAGATCTCCTCGCCCAAAGGGTAAATTACCTATCAGGCTTTGGTGACTCGCACTCTGCCCGATGACTTAATTTAATCAACCAACAAAAATTCCCCTAACAAGAATTGAGGGTTGACGATCGGATAAATATATCTGTTGGCTAGTGTCAACTAAGTGGATCAGTCTCATCGACTATCTTCAGAAATCCAATCAGTTATCCCAGCCTGAAAGATCAACCGGTCGATGGTTCCTATCCATCTAGCCGACTAACGATACTAATCACTTCACCTCATTGGCCCTGCAGACTGAGTCGAAGTACAACAAAGCCCTAAGCCGATAGAGCTATATTCTCTAGAATAACCTGTGTTTTTGAACAATTTAATTTATTTATTTTTGTGAAAATTTTATATTATCTTCTTGACAAATCATGGTATGATTTTACTCTTTTATATACATTATATATAATATGTATTTTTCATTGAGTTTCTCTTGCACGTTGAAAGAATTTCACCATAATTGAAATATTATTTTTTGGCTGAATTATCACTTTAATTTAATGCTTCTTATCCACTAATCTTAATTAAACTAAGCTTAAGAAATTGATTGTAAGAATTACATATTATTCAATTAGATTATTCTACGCATCCAAAACTTGGCATATACAAACTATTTCTTTTATGTTCAAAATTAACATAACTTCACATTTTCAAAAATAATTTTAAATGGTTGTATGATTTATTGCATAAATTAACTATAATCAGTATTAATTTTACTTTATAGTTATATTATTATTATTATTATTATTATTATTATATATATATATTCTATGGTTCACACCCAAGTAATAGAGCTTAATGAGCGAAAAAAAACGAAGAATGAACATTAATTTACAATGAGTACACACTAACCTTTCTGAAGCTTATTTAGCAAAGATCTTGTAACATTTATTCTGAGGATGGCCTCCTATTTATAGAGAGAGGAAGCATGACTCCTAAATTTAATCAGAGGCCTTCCTAAATTTACAGAGGGCATAGGCCCATATTTTAATATGGTCTGCATGCCCAAGATAATAAAGATATTTGGCTTTGCTCCTAAATTTAATCAGAGGCCCATATTTTAATATGCTCTGCATGCCCAAGATAATAAAGATATTTGGCTTTGGTGAAGCCCAGTGATCCCTTGCAGTCCTCAACTCGGTGATCTCGACGACAGGGATGAAGTAGCGGACCTTGATGATTGTCTATTTCGATAGGACCGTCCGACCGACTGACAACCTAAGGGTAGTTGATCGGTCTCTCCTGTGAAGTGGTCAGGTATAGTTGGTTGGTCGCTCCTGTGAATTCAGCCTGATATAGTTGGTTGATTCTTCCTGTGAAGTAGGTTGGGGGTTGCTGATTCAGATTACAGAGAGACTGTCGACCGATTTAGTTCTTGAGGGGTTCTCCGACTCCTTGAGACTATTGTTTTGGGTTGACAAATATTGTCTGAGCTTCGTGTGGGTTATTTTTCTCAGGGGGTCCCATAGTGCCCCTTCGTATCCTTTAGGTTAGTTGGATTCCTTTGAGATTTGTGTTAAACATGTTTTCTATGCACATATTTAGTTCACTGATTTCTTGTTTCTTGATAGTGATAGCTGCGAAAATAATAAGAGAATCTTATTTATGATAAACAATAATATTTATAATTACTTAAGAATGTAATAAGTGAACTCCTTGAAATTTTATGCCCATGATCTCTTAAAAATAGGGCAAGGGGGTATTGATCTCTTCCTTTACCTTCGTATTGTCCGTAGTGGGCAAGTCTAATTTGAAGTCTCTGAGTCTTCATAAAATTGCCTACAAGAAAGCATTCGCCAAGATGAGAGGGACCTAATCCATGCCCGGGAGGTGAGAAGAAAAAGTGGTTGTCTGTTCTAAAAAGATGGGTGTCGGATTCATAAGGTCAAGTAGGATCCTTAGATTTATCGTTAGCGCGGTCAAACGGTAAGGCTTGATTAGTAGAAGGTTCTTTGAGGTAGACACTCAAGAATACTGGTGAGGACTACCAAGAGTTATGGAAGACAATCTTTTGATTGTCCAACCAGTCACTCCATTGACTCTTGTCTCGATTTAATCCTTTCAGGCTAAGATATCGGGCATGGAATGCCTGACGCTCTAAGAGTCATTGACCTTCCACCACAGGTTGGAGGGCAAAATCTGGTGAGAAAGGATTTTCCTTTACTTCTTGTGATTGAGGCCGAATCATGAGTATGTTGTGCATCTTCTTTTTAGTCAACCCCATTTTTACCTGAGTGTTTTTCTTGCTTTGTTATGCAGAGGATTTGGCTGCTATTGTGGTGATAATTGATTCCCCGTCAGTTGTAATAGAAACAAATCCTATTGTGGAGAATGGTAATGGGGAGAAACCAGCCAAAGATCTCTAATATACAGTTATGGGTGAAAAAAGTCATCTAGATCTTTCAGCCGAGGGTTTATCGAGATTGGTTGCCAGTGCCCCAAAGTCTCCAATGCTCGGACACCAGCTTCAAAATCTGGAAGAACCCATGGTTCAATCGAATTGTTGGCTAAGGAGTTGCACCAACCGACAGTTCAAAAGGATTGTGAGGAAGGCTGGAGGGACGATATGGCACTCTTGCGCATGGAGGTGATCGCCTTCCGGAAGGAAGTCAATGCTCTTCGGGTGGAGCTTTTGACCATTCAAGAAGCGTCCTATACTTCTCATGTGCATGATGAAATAGAAAAGGTAGATATGTTTAGGTTAGGAGTAGAATTAGCATATATGCAACTACTTCAGCGAGGGTTTGTCTCATTTGAAGCAGCGACTAATAGCCTTATCCAATATTTTTTGCCGGTTTAATTCGTCAAATCTCTATAATGTAAATAGTTTTCTTATTAGGATATATATTTCATTTTTTTTCTTGAGAACTTAGGTTTTTATTCTTTTCTCATCATTTTTTTATTGTAGACGAGTGTGTTCGGGTCGGGGTTTGTTGATTGTTGGTGAAATCTGAAATTCGACTATGATGGCAGATTCTTTGCTTCAAGTGTTGGTCAAAAGTAACAAGAATAGGGTTAACCACCCGACCGATCCTGTGGAGATCTGAGAGGAAATTATAGAGGGGTGCGGATGTCTTTGAGAACCTTGACCCATTGCCTGGATGAGATGGAGGTTGCTTGGGATTAGTAGAGGAGGATATCCACATAATGTTGAAGGAGATGCGAGAGGAGATTGATGCTCTTCGCCATTAAGCGTCCAAACTTCAAAAAGATTGCTTTCTACAGGGGGCTCATTCTAGGACCGCCGAGCAAACCACTTTAAGCTTGGTTGTCAATTGTTATATAGGAGGTTGGTTAGGAAGGATATATTCTTGGCTGAGGTGACTAAGGACCTGTTTGTAAAATATATGTTGTCAAACTAAAATCCGAGTGTAATTATTTTATTATTAAAATAAAATATTTAATTTTAATTTTTTGTCTTGATTTTAATGTTGATTTGTTGTTTTCTCTCAAAATCCCTCTTTGAAATTTTCACTTCTATTGTATTCCTAAAATTTGGGGCACTTGTTATCTTTTATTTGAGCTTCTGTCAATAATATGACATATGCTAGGTGATAGCCTGTGGCAGGCCATGACTCAACAATTGCATGTTCACAGTCAAACCTTAAACCCAAACCATCATGACAAGGAGTTCGGAGCCAGCTTTCCAAGAAGCAAGACAAGGCTGCAAGAGGATGGAGAACAACTTCAGATGACGATCAAGACACAACATGAGCCAGATCTACTTCAACTAAACTTTCCTTAGTTTAAAACAACATAACTTATAGAACTTCGAGGTTGTTCGTCTAGCACAGCGTAAATCCTCACTCTATCTTTTGGCCTTTGTACGACCATACTATGCAAAATAATCCCTAACTCTTTTTAGGATTCTGAGGTCATCGTTTAGTACGACGTAAATCCTCCTATCTTCTCAGGTTATTCTCATGATCGTATATCATACAAATGTAAGCTCTACATAATAAAATTGACATGATTGAAATATTAAATAATATCATTTTCAAAATTGAAATTAAACAATAGGATAGTTCAGAAAGTCACTGAGGTTTTCTTCTAGATTAGTGACCTCCCCTACATTTCACTTTCTTCGGACTCCAAAATAAGTGTTTCTATTTTGAGCCTCTTTCACTTGATTTTTCTATGTCCAATCTTGAAAACTCAACATTGAATTCTTGAAGACAAAACCTCTTAACATTATCGAGAGTTTTCTTAAGTAACTTCAGTCATTTAAGATGTAATTAACTATGGAGACTCACCCTTATAGGGAATTAATGAACTCAGGTAATATAAACCCTATCTACTTTTCAATATTATGAAGTAAAACATTTCAATCACAAAAAAATTCGCAGACCAAACAAATGTCATAATATTCTTAATTTAAGTGGTTGAGTCTACTAATAAGTGATATGTTCATCTCTTGGGAATATATATTACTCGTGGTATTGCACTCGAACATCTAAATTTTTAAACATATGATATCTCTTCGGTCTCATTTTTCAAAATAATAATAAAAAAAAATTAAAATTAAAATCATATGATTTAAATTAAATTATTTTTTAAAAGCAACCAACAAATTTCTATCTGGGCATCATGTGAAACCAAAAATTAATGATAAAATGAAAAAAAAAATTACTTGTGGATGAAATAGATGTGAATTAGAAATGAATTGATGATATCAGACGGATCAAAACAAAAGACAATAGTATCAACGAATCAATCCCAAAACCATCCCGGGAGCAGGATAAAGCCAGGAAGCAGAAGAGTAGTAATTCTCAACCTTTCTGGAAGCCATGAATCCCCTCTGCACCCGCTTTCAACATGCAACGCTTCCTCCGTTCTCCGTCCGCTCACCCCATCCCAAATCGCCTCTATTCGGTCGCCGCATCCGACCTTCTGTTCTTTTTCCCTACCTCTCCTCTCTCCCCTTCTCCGACGTCGCCCCCCGTCTCATCGCCACCCGTTCCGCCCGCGTTCCATCGCCCAACGCCGACATTGAGATGGTCCGCGGTCGCGACGGCTCTTGGTCTGCCCGTGAGCAAAACGTCGTCGTCCTCTGGGATCTCGACAACAAGCCTCCTCGCGGACAACCCTACGACGCCGCAGTAGCACTCCGGCGGGTCGCCGAGCTCTTTGGCCGCGTGGTTGAGATTTCTGCTTACGCCAACCGCCACGCTTTCCTTCATCTTCCACAGTGGGTCCTCGAGAACCGCCGCGAGCGCCGACTCCTCGATGGTCTGGAGCGCAAGGGCCTCGTCGTCCCCAGTCAGCCCTATATCTGTGGGGTCTGCGGTCGTAAGTGCCGCACGAACCCCGAGCTTAAGCGACATTTTATCCAGCTTCATGAGCGCGAGCGCCAGAAGAAGCTCTCCCGGATGCGATCGCTCAAAGGAAAGAAACGGGAAAACTACAAAAAGCGGTTTATATCCGGGAATCACAAGTACACGGAGGCCGCGCGCGAGCTCCTGATCCCGAACAAGGGGTACGGGCTTGCTTCAGAGCTTCGACGAGCTGGGGTGTTTGTGAAGACGGTGGAGGACAAACCCCAGGCGGCAGATTCGGCCGTCAAGCGTCAAATGCAACACTCTATGTCGCGAGGAATCGATTGCCTCTTTCTTGTATCTGATGATTCAGACTTCTCGGAGATGATTAGGAAGTCAAGGGAGGCGAACTTGCGGACTGTAGTGATTGGAGATGCTCGGAGGGCGCTGGGCCGCCTTGCCGATTTCTGGGTTCCGTGGATGCGGGTTGAGAGGGAAGAAGTCGGGGAGGAGGTGTTGTTATCTGCTAGGAATACTGGATTTCGTATAGGGGAAGAAGACGAAGATGAGGAACAGGGATTATTTTACTCGTCAGCTATTTTCTATGATAACGATGATGACGATGGAAAAGGTGATGAAGCTGATGGTGATCTCGATCAGTTGGTTGATGAGGTTGTTGGGGAATGCTCTGGATTTAATGCGGTCAAAGTTTCGGCTTTTTCAGAGGAAGAATTGTCGGATGGGAAGAATATGAGACCGGAGACCTGGAACAGCATTTCCGAAATGCTTGGAGCAACTGTAGCTGGTAGAAGCTTGAGTTGGAACATTGACGATGAGGATGAGGATGATTATTATATTTGATTGCTGCTACGGGTATTAATACCATATCTTTGCAATTCTTCTTGGTTTGCTTATCTTCATCTTACCAACCAATCAATGTTAACTATGAAGCTCTCCGTATTATGCTTGACTAGTCAGTAGGAAAGGAGAATGCTATACGAAACCAGACCAGCTAAGTAGATTGGCAGAATAAGTTGAAAGGGCTAAGCGTAATATACTAAATCTCTGAATCAACCTGATAAAAACCCTTGCCTCTTTGCCACTTCAACACATCCTTTTAGATTGGCAGACTTGGCGTTTGACAATGTTTGTTCTACCATTCATCAGCAAAGAGTAATTAATGTCCATCATCTACAACTTCCTATCTAAGGACAATTTTGTTCACCAAATTTCAATTTTTTGAGTGCTATGCTTTGTTATTTAAAGGTGTATTTTTGTTAAAATAATAATAATAAATAAAAAGTTTTTTTATTTATTTTGTACATATTTTAAGATTGTAGCGGTTCAAATGTCCTTTTAACTCAAAGTATCTTTGTTGGCCTCAAGAGCACATGTATGAATGAGTGAATTGGGTAAAGAAGCTTTTCACAAACATTTGTCAATCAAAGAATGTAAACCAATTTACACTTCATGATGCTGAGTATTTTATGAAATACATAAGTGATTGGAATATCAATACAATATATATCCTCATCGTATGAAAAGACATGGATGTATAATTATTGGAGTTCTACATAAGCTTCTGCCCACTCCTCTACTTTAGTAGAATTTCACTGATTAATTTCACTCGTGAAGGTGAAAGCTATACAGGCTTCACTTGTCTTAGTTCTGAAGGGAAACTCCAACCTTTTTCTTGGGTTCAAATACAACCTACCGACCTTTTTAACACGCTCAAGAACCATTCCAACTTTTTTTTCTCAGCTCAATTTCAGCTCCTCGACCTGTTTTGACTCGCTCACGAATAACCAAGGACTAAAAATACGACACGTGTTCAGAGCAACTTTTGCAAAAAAAAGAAAAAGTTAGAAAACTAAACCCAAATACTACAATGGGGAGCACTATGCATAATGATGACCGGACAAACTAATATACTTTGACATTTAGCTATATATATTTGTATGCAATGACATACCATCATTTAGGTATATTACCACATGAAAATTTAAGAAGGACATTGAGAATCAAAACCAAGCTTCCAAAAGCATCTGCCAACTTATGTGGAGACCATCAGTGGTCAGAGTAAAACTTGAGTTGATGGAAGCCAGCTAGAAAGTGATCTGCGGTTTTATCACCATTAGAAAAAGAGAAACATTGTATGTCAATGGATTATGTCAACGGAGTGTTTGGGGAGTATTTCAATGCACTTTTTTAATAATGTAAGATGCGTTCTACTATCATATTTCTTATCAAGTGAGACAATTTATGCTCTATAGTTAGGAAGTGTTGATGGTGTACCATGATAAAAAAAGAAGGCTCAACATGACAAGGGCAAGTATTAGGCTGCCAACCTTAGTATATAAAAATTGATCTAATGAAATAGGTCATTTTGCATTTCCTAAAATAGTTCACTTTTTTTAAATAGTAACCTGTTGGGTTGATGTGGTCAGATGTTCATAATCTGAACTAGTGAGTTGGATTCATTTGAATCTGTCCAGTTGAATCTGGATGACCTAGACATGCATGATTGGTAATTTAGCTATGTGTAACTTGGCAGTTTAGTTGTGCCTATGAATTTTCCCTAATTTAAAGATACCGTTTTGTGCAAGGCATGATCTTAGGCTAATCACCAAACTTTTATGTGTTTTATTCATTATTATGACAGTCTCCATAATAGAACCTAACTCATAAACACAAACACTAAGTTTAAATATACAAGAAGTGTTTGTTATCAACAAAATCAATGTAGGGTTAAAAATATTTCCCTTTTTTATGATGAAATTTACTTGATATGATAGAGAGAGCATAAAATACTTTCTGGATATAAAATAGTTTCATGGCATGGCAAATTGAGTCCTTTATCTAATATTGTAACTCATATTGTCAAGGTACCATCACATAGAGTTGATTGTTCTCTCCATTTCTTGAATTTGATGTGTATTCCTAGTACCCAAAAAATAATACCGTCGTTTTTAATAGTTAAATATTTATTAATTTGTATAAGTGGAGGATTTTGGATAATGTAGCAATAGCTCTATAAGTTTAGATCTCTAGCCAGTCTCTTTCTTAGTTGGAGAATACATAAGTTTTTTTGGAAAGTTATCATATTATCATCTCAAGCACTTAAATATATGAATAAATTGCTTAAAATCCTTTGTGACAATTTTTCACACAAGGAAATTATGTTGTTTTTTAAATTTAACTTCTGATATTCCACTTTGAATTACAACATAAATATTTAAAGATAATACTTGAAAATATTTTTCATATTTGGTTTCTACATTGGTATTACTATTTTAGTGAAAAATTAAATTTTTTTCAAAAACTATCATTACTTTTTACATTTCTTGTGTGAAAAATTATTATAGCTAATTTGCAATTATAATTGAAATCAAGAGCTATAATGTTCATAGTCAAGGAACATGATATCAATAAGTTATATTCAATTTAATTGAGGTGGAACTTGTTGTGAATAAAATCAAAATGAACCAAATCAAGAGCTATAATGTTCATAGTCAAGGAACATGATATCAATAAGTTATATTCAATTTAATTGAGGTGAAACTTGTTGTGAATAAAATCAAAATGAACCGTTACATGCTATTAAAAGAACATGTTGTGAATAAAATCAAAATGAACCGTTACATGCTATTAAAAGTTTTAAAGTTTTCCTACCAAGAATTAAAGTATAATAGATGTGTAAAACAATGCATACATATTCTTGGCATGCCTCTAATTATATTGCAAATAAAATTCATATTTTCTTCCAATTTAAGGTTGAGGTTGATAAAGGGGCTCAAAATGGAAATAAGGTTTTCTTTGATATACGGTCACTGTGGAATTATGCCTTATAATTTTTATTTATTTATTTTTTATGTTTACTTTTTTGATATTTTAATTTATTGCAAAATATGAGATGTACATTTGGCATATCGCAGAAGTGAATTTGAGATTATGTAAGCTGATTTAAATATCGGTCACTGTGGAATTATGCCTTATAATTTTTATTAATTTTTTCTTATGTTTACTTTTTTGATATTTTAATTTATCGCAAAACATGAGATATACATTTGGCATATCTCATAAGTGAATTTGAGATTATGTAAGCTGATTTAAATATGAAGTAATGTTATTTTGTTATTGCATATGTGGTCTTTTTAAAATCTATCATGTCTAAAGCCAGATTGCCTATTAATTTTGACGAGATAAAAATGGTTAATGATTTGCTAAAGCTTATTAATATACAGGATTTTCATGATTATTTTGTTTTAACTACTTTTTATGGACTATTTATTAAGAGTTTAATATTTCTATCGATCTAATTTTTATTTTTTTTTAAGAGAGAGGAATTTAGTTGAACTAAATTTGCTTATTGTGCACTTGTTGAGATTAAAGGAAAATTAGAAAACCATCTATGTTTAATTATTTGATTTTAATGTAGTGTTTTGAAGTTTTAAGTGTTGTGTTTGGTGTTGGTATTAGAGTGCCTTGGGGGGGTGGAACTGGTGTAGGCCAGTGTTGCGCCTAGAATCACACCGCTAGAAAAGACTCAATTGGCCCGCAGGTAGGCTGGTCTGTGCAGCATGAAGGAGCGGAGCGGGCAAGGCTTGTTGCAAAAACAAATCAGAAGAGGGTGGGGTCCACTAGTTCCATAATCACATATTCAAAGAGGAGAAATTAAAGGAGTTTGGTGTGAAAGTTGGGAATAAAAGTTTTTGAAATGCTGTGAGGGGATTTTATTAAGGGGAATAACCTAAGGTTGCTTTCTTTATGCATATTTTGTTGTGGCTGTTGTTTTCTTTCTTCCTGTGGTGCTCCTAGCGACGTTTAGGGTGTGTGAGAAATGATGCACCTCTCGAATAGTACATCTACCATGTATTTTGCTTGTTTTTCTTTGATTTTTGTAAGAGCAGTCCTTATTTGTATTTCTTCCACCTATCTATTGTCGTTTCGTTGTGTTTTATTTGCTAATTTTGGTACCGAGGCATATTATTTTCCCCCTCAACTTATTTGGTTTTCTTGAACTGAGCAACATATTATTCATTTGTACACTTATGCAAGTATAATATGATAAGCACAAAGAAGTCAAATAGTTTCATTTCTAGTTCTAGTAACTCCAGAGTTTTACTATAACTTATACCTGGTTAGTACGTTAGTCCCCTTTTAGATTTAGGTTCAAGATTGATATTATCTTTACAAAATTTTAGTCTTCATCATTGGGCAAACTTCCGTTAATCGAAAGTTTGTTAGGGGGAGTGGAGACTTTCGATGGAGGGCGATGGGAAGAGCACGATGGAGGAAGGAAAAATTTGAAGTTGTATATGCTTATGATAGAAGGAGGGAGTTTCACCCTAGATACATGAGGGTGGATAGGGCTGTAAACGAGCCGAGCTTGAGCGGCTCTGAGAGGGGGAGTGGAGACTTCCGATGGAGGGCGGTGGGAAGAGCATGATGGAGGAAGGAAGAAATCTGAAGTTGTATATGCTTATGATAGAAGGAGGGAGTTCCACCCTAGATACATGAGGGTAGATACCAGAGGAAGAGGAGGTTGGGGTGGAGATGCAATGGTCAAGAAATTAAAGATGCAAATCTTTGAAGTGGATTATGCACGTGGATGGGTGATACTTTGCAATCAAAGAGTTGACTGAGGAAGAGAAGCTCGTGGCAGTGGGATTATCCTTGGAGGGGAAGGCTATAGCGTGGTTCCAGTGGATGGATGCAAAGTATCTGATGCTCTCATGGTGGAGTTTAAGGATCGCTTGTTGGAACATTTCTGAGTCATTCGGGAAGGAGACCTTCACGAGCAATTCTATGCTTCGACTCAAGAAAGGACGGTTATGGAACACCGAGAGAAGTTCGAGCTCTTATCAGAGAGG